CATCCATCCATCCATCCATCCATCCATCCATCCATCCCTCCATCCTTCCCTCCATTCTATCCCTCCTTGTTTTCCCATTTTTCTTCTTATTAATTGTTGTTGTTCCTTAACATTCTACGAACTTCTCAAAGCATTACTGTAATTTGCCGTATCACTAGCTTTGTTGATAATTTCATTCCACAGATCAAAGAAAAGTCTAATATTTCAACAGAATTATGGAATAGACTAACTGAGAGCCAGCGTCAACGATATTTTGGCAAAGAGGATGATTCCCAAGGTTACAACAAGCAGTCAGCCAATGCCATTGAAGACTTTGCAAAACTAGTTATTGAACCAAGCCCAGTGCATGGAGAAAAACTAGATTTGATCCTGACAAAACAGCTTCCAGAGAGGTGCATTGAACTTTCAACATCTAAACTTCTTTCCTCCAATACCTTTCCTCCCCCCAGTCCTCCTTCTCCCTCCTTTATCACACATGGAACCCAAGCACACAAGAAAGGAAAATAAGAGAGAAACCTGCACTAGAAGAGTGAGACACACTCCACACTCTCCACCACTTTATTAAGTATCCTATGCATTGAACTCTCTGCTAACACATTTTTTACATAATTTAGCAAGAAAAAGCGAAAGAAAAAAAGAAAGAGTGATCGACCTCTAGCATCGAGTCCTCCGGCTTTGAAAGCCTTGTTCACTACAGCAGTCCCTGATGAAGATCTGTATGACGGAGGGGGAGACTCTACTCCTGAACCGCTCTCTGATGAGGAGGCTGATGAAGGTGCTACGGAATCTATTATCAGTTCGATTGGTCCAGGGTACGACCTCCAGGCGGAAGAAAAAATGTTAAATCAGCAGACTATGACACCAGGTAACGCAGTAGTGACGTGTTCAGACCTGCTAGAGTCAACCACCTTTGATGTGTGTACATAATGGTATAGGATTAAGCAGCAGAGTGCAACATTAGATAATGCACTAGTGACATGGTCGGACCTGCTAGAGTCGACCACCTTTGATGTGTGTACATAATGGTATAGGATTAAGCAACAGGGTGCAACATTAGATAATGCACTAGTGACATGGTCGGACCTGCTAGTTTTGAACTATATGAGAAACAGATCTAGAGAGCAACATTCGTTGTGGGGTGTCATCCCTTGACGTTTGCATTTCTTTTCATTTTTTTCTGTTTTTTTTTTCTTTCTTAAAAAGAAATATTAATGATTACTGACTCAAAGACAGAAGAGAAACGAGAAGTATCACATTCAAAACAAGAAGACCACGATTATGATCAAGATAGCAAGAAAGATATCAGTGAAGATAAAGATGTCTTGGATGAAGAGGAAAGAGATGAATACTGGGACATGGACCATCATAAGTTTGAATGGTCTGACTATATGCAGACACTAGACCCTCGATCATGGCACGCTCTTGGTATAGCAGTACAGGAAAGTTTTATCTCTAAAGGTAGGTTACATTCCTGGGGGAGGGGAGGGGTGGTAGACACTAGACCCTCGATCATGGCACGCTCTTGGTATAGCAGTACAGGAGAGTTTTATCTCTAGAGGTAGGTGTACATTCCTGGGGGGGAGGGGTGGTAGACACTAGACCCTCGATCATGGCACGCTCTTGGTATAGCAGTACAGGAGAGTTTTATCTCTAAAGGTAGGTGTACATTCCTGGGGGGAGGGGAGGGGTGGCAGACACTAGACCCTCAGATACCCAAGTGCACAATGGAGGCGTTTTCACATGACGTCCCAGCCACCATATTGATACACCTTTGACAATAACTGTTTTATTTACACCAATATGGCTGTTATCTCTTAGTGAAAACACTCCATAAATATAAGGATTTATCCAGCATATCAATTCCTTTCTAGAAAAACCTCTGTTCGATTCCAATCTCCCATGGAAAGAAAAACCGATGAAAGTCAACAGTGTGATTGACGTCCATGTAAGTTCTCTTTCGGATATAGGTCTCGTTTTTATGAGAAAGACTATAAACAAATATACAAGGATATTTACCCTTTTTTCCTGACAGAAAATAGCACTTGACAAGCTGTTGGTTCGTCTGCATCGCATGTATGAAGCAATAGGGCAGGCTACGCAGGCTACTATCGACCCAGTCCCCAAGGAAGAGAAGGTCCAGACGGTTATGGGGAAATACGAAGGTAGATATCCTAATGAAAATAGATAGGAATGTTCCTGAATATGTTGGGTGATCGACTCTACTTTATGTCGACGTCATATACCCTACTTCATGATGACGTTATTTATCCTACTTCATGATGACGTCATCTACTCTTCTTCATGATGACGTTATTTATCCTACTTCATGATGACGTCATCTACCCTTTTCATGATGACGTCATTTATCTTACTTCATGATGACGTCATCCACCCTTCTTCGTGATGACGTTATTTTTCCTACTTCATGATGACGTCATTTACGCCACAACTTCAACAATAGTGGTTTTTCACCATCATGTGACGGCAGCCATGTTAGATGGCAGGAACAATACAATCGTTTTACATAAGAGAGAATTCGATTACCAAGAGCAAAGGGATTTAATTGTTCTGCCATCTAACCACAGGCGGTCCAAGCTGTATTATGTGCGGGGGCACGTGATGATGCAAAACCCCTATACATGTACGGACACTCTGAAATTCCATGGACCTTCACTGGAACAAAGGGATATTCTACACAAAATCAAAGCTAACCCTAGACTAACGGAGAACTTAAAATTTAAGTATTTATGTAAAGGAAATTTTTCATTATTATTTTAGAACTCGAAACGCCTTTTGATGGAAGACCTAGTACGAACGCTATGGTGAGTATCCTGGTGCGTCGTACTTTATCTGCTAGAGGTAGAGAATATGGAATATCTTGTGCGATGTTGTGGGGAATCTAATACCCCATTCACTACAATATAATGAAACTTTGTAAAGTATTGTCAGAGTAAGACAAAGGATAGTTTACATGTATTATTTTACCAAATATTGTGCAGTGTTCGTAGATAGTTTTTCAAACCTGTTTAGTTAAACCACTTTAAAACATGTTTAAGCCTTGGTGTGAATGGGGTATAAGAGAATTGATTTTCAATACACTGGAATTTATTGATATAATGGATTTTGAAATACAGTGTAATTTTGTTTAATTAAAGGAAACAATGAATGAATAAGGTACAAACAAGTTTGAACGAACGAACGGACGGACGGACGGACGGACGGACGGACGGACGGGTAATTAATTGATTAAAATGGATCTATGGGAATTACCATTTTGCATTTTAGAGATCGGCGATCCATTATAAATTTTAAAAGAAACTTTTGATTGGCAGTTGATATAGCTTGTTTATTAACACAAACCTGTCCATTCTCCAGGTCCCTGCCGATAGTGGCCTGTTGTCACGTGGTGTATCGCGTGACGTCATGCTACCTCCTCTACCAGGAACAGCAGCGACCACTAAGACTGTCACCTTTCTTCCATCACCTTCACAACATACTCCATCAAGATATACCCGCAAGGTGAATAAAACATAGTTTATGATTACTGGCAGGGGAGGGGAGGGGGGTGTGGGGGGTGGGGATGCTCCTTAAATTGAAGGTGTCAGGATACCTTCATAACACGCGCGAGCCTACTCTGCGAGTAGAATCTCCTTTCTACCTCATTTCCTACGGGGAAAATTAAAGAAGGACTTTACCGGCAGGATAGAGTGACGAGTCAACTGATTTCGCGCTGCCAAAATTACAGCGTAAAGTGGTTTCGAAGGTATCCTTATGCCTTAAGTTTTCATTCTACGTTTTATATTCAACAAGAGCAATCCAAAAAAAAAGTTTTGAGAATGTCTTCCCATGCCAAGCCCCGTTCGAAAACTTCTTTGAAAACTTACTTAACGACCGACTTTAAAACAAAAAGTTTTTCCTCAAAGCGACAGGGCCAAAGAACCCCCTCCCCACCAACCCCCCCCCCCCCCCCCTTTCCAAATAGGCCTGTTGACATTACGTTTTGGCCCTAAATAACTTGAATAAATTTGGTTTGATTTCCAGAGAACAGATAAATTTTACCCTCGTGGGTCTAAGGAATGGTGCGAAGACTATAAAAGTGGCCACGATATGCCCAAACTAGTGACCTTTAAACCACCACCAATCCACAAGAAGACTAGTAACGTTCAGGTGAGACAGTGGGTCTATTAGTTGAATGGAAGGGGTGTTCTAATCCTTGGGTGGTCAGGGATAGGTACACGGGTGCTTACTATTTACCCGGAAAAATCCGGAGATTCCGGTTGGAAAAACAAATGGTATGTATAGTTCCAGAAAACTCGGTCTTGCGATTGAGGTAATCCACTTTTCCCGCTCTTTTCGGTTCTTCCGGTAGACACGTGTACCATTTTTAGAAAGTCAAAGTTTCCCGCTCTTTTCGGTTCTTTCGGTAGACGCGTGTACCAATTTTCGGAAGTGAAAGTTTCCCGCTCTTTTCTTACCATTAGTGAATGAATTTCCAACCGGATGGATTGGTTTGAATGGTAAGCACTGCAGATGTATCCTTAAGGTACGGACAAAGGGTGCAACATTGCATGCAACATTGCACGCAACAGGACTGTTGCAGCGTGTGTCTACCCCTAAAGCTTGTTGCATGCAACAAAATCCTGAAGTTGAATCGCGCTCTACTCTTGCAATACTGCGCGCAACAAATTTCATCGTGTGAACATAGCTGCAACATTGCGTGCAACATTTTGAAATCTCCAGCCAATCAACTTGCACCAAATTTAAAACCGCTGACCAAACATCTTAGCAAAGCGCGCTGACACAAGCGATGTTGCGTGATTTCGTTGGAATATGTGTCACCCCGATTCAAATTTGTTGCTTGCAATGTTGCGTGCAGTGTTGCACCGTGTGTCAGCACCTTTAATTTTTAGGCAAGGTGTTTGCTACAGCGAAAGCCAGTTTTTTTACGAAGTCCTGTATAGTTTTAAGATGTATTGGTTCTCCTTTTATTCATTTGTAGTCAAGATATCTTGGGAAGAAAGCAGAAGTAAAACCTCTGAAGGTGAAGGAGAGCTACGATGCATTTAAAAGGTAGGTGTCTTGAACATCTGATATCCGTCATACCTGCATTTATTCTGATATATAAGCATCTTTTTCCTTTTAGAAAAGATTATGACTGGAAGCCCCAGATAGTCAAGTCACTGATAAAAATAATGAAAGGTAAAAAGGAATATGAAATTTCCGTCAAATCTGCTTCTTTAAAAATATGCAATCAGAAAATGATCAAAAAAAAATGGCCATTTCATTTGACCAATTAGAGCGCGCATTATATCGTAGTTGTTTTGATTGGATTTGATGTCGTGAACAAAGACAACGTTAATTAGAACAAAAATCTGTTCGAAGTTTGTCGTTCGATTAATTTGCTGCGCGCGCACTGAAGGTTAGAAACATTCTTTTGTCATTAAGTTGATGTATGGAGTTCGTATCACTTTCGGTCGTGGTTTGAAATTGACGTCATTCGATCAAACCAGTCACAGCAGTGTTTTTACACGAGACCATTTTTATTGCAACATTGTTGCGTTAAAAGTTGGCTTCGTGTAACATGGCGCGCGCGGCAACATAAATCGATGGCAACAATGTTGTGAGTTTTGAAGGTCGTTCAAGAACCTGAAACATGTTGCCGCAACAAAATGTCGTTTAAAATTGTAACCGCGCGCCATGTTACACGAGAACAATTTTTTACCCAACATTGTTGCGCGAGCAATCGTCGTTACGAATCGTCTCGTGTAGAACCACCTACAAACCTTTTAATCTCTTTTTTTATCTCTTCAGGAATGGAGTCATCTGAGGCTAAGAAGGAAAGGGAGGAAGATTTTGTTGATTATGATGGACCAAAATGGAGAAGACTTCAGGTCAGTTTGTTTTGTGTTTCGTTATATAGGGATACTTCACGTTTACTAGCAAAACCATTGTGGTGTTCAAAATATGCTAACAATTTTCACTTTTTTTTTCAAGTTGCTTTGTGTTGCTTTGTGCTTATTCATTCAATTTTATATTTCATTTATTTATTTTCCCTCTCTTTTATATTTTACTTCATTGTCGTTATATTTTCCAGGAACTTATCGGAGAGGAAGGACTAAAGTCTCCCAATTCCACCATTGCTATGGAAGCAGCCAGAGTACGTGTTCTGTGAAACTCACACTTACCCCATTTCCTATGCCATCACGTGATGGCAGCCATGACAGGAAGCAGGAACGATTGAATCTAGTCTAATCTGATTTACAGAAAATAATCAGACTCTCGTAGGAAACAGACTCTATTGTTGTGCATTTTGCCATAGGCTTTTTCTGAGTTCGATAAACACGAAGCATTGTGGTCTAGCTTGAGTACAAACAACACCATATAGGCATGACGAACGGAAGATGTTCGTACCCAAGCTAGACCACAATGCACCATGTTTGCTATCTCAGAAAAGTTCTATGGCTGCTATCACGTGATGGTGCAAATCCTCTATACTTAGAAACTCTTTCTTTTTAACAGACAATTGGTCAGCTTAACTGTCGTCATCCAGATATATTAGCAGCCCTCTGCTCAGCAGTAAGTTTCAAATAAGCCTGAAGCGAGATGACGTTTTACCCCCGCCTCTATAACATAATAGTTTTTAAAAAATTTTCATATTAAAATTTTTGATTCCTTAGAGAATATAGGAACAATAGTCATAATTAAAGAACAAAAGCAGTGTGAAAAGGATTATGGTCTAGAGACGGGGGTCAAACGTCATCTCGCTTCAGGCTTATTAGGTCTTCTTAAAGAATCAAGGTTGGTGGAGCGGGCCTCGCACCTCTAGGGACTCTCGTCTGATTTCTGGACTGCGCATAGCGAGTGCTTGGAGATTAGTTGGTCACTGCGAAGGAGATTTGTCAAAATTTTGAATTATTATTATGCACCTAATAACAATAATAATAATGGGATTAGCAGTGGATTCCATAGAGTGGTTCTTCTTTCACTGGATTCCATTTGGAATTTAGAAGTTGATTTTTGCGGAGGGAATAAAGCCGGAGAACCCGGAAAACCCTCGAAGCACAGGAGAGAACCAAGAAACATCTTTACTCACGTACGACACCGAGAACAGCGGGGCTCGAACACAGGTCGCACTGGTGAGAGGCAAGCGCTTTCACCGCTACACACCCGTACACCACCCGCGCTTCCCACCTATCAATGTTAAGCCCCAGGGTGGGGATGGGGGCGACCCCAAGGGAATTTGACATTTTGAAATTGAAAATTTCAAATTCCCATCCCCAGGACATCTGATGAAAGTCTCATTTCCACCCTTAGTACATATGGTTATTGTAGTTTCCGGCTTTTTCAAGATGGCGGCCATTTCCAATTCTCTACTGTGGGGGCATTGAATATGAAAAAGGGTCACTAAACGTTTTTTCTGACTGCACTTATTTTCAGATCTCAGATTCTTCTAACGAAGCTCGAGTTTGCTATGAAGCCAGTAAATCTCTTATACTCTTGGGTGAGTGGTATAATTTGCAATGAATAAATAAAGCGGCTGTTTCAAAAATAATTCAAGACGCTGAAACCAAAAAAACGTTAAGCACCAGGATTTGAAATGCATGTTCAAACTCATTTGAAATGGTTCATGAACACAACCATGAGTTTCAGATATTACATATAGTTCTTGTAGAGCCAAAGACTTGATCTATTTTAATTGAATCCTTATCCAGGTATGTGGGCTCCGGAAGCTTTGAAGGTAGTGATCAAGAATATCAAGAAAGGTAAGTAAAAGAAAATTGGATTGAATTGCTTGCTTCCTTCCTACAGTCCATCCTTACCCAACGACCTACTTATCTACCTACCTAATCAACTACACACCTAACTACCTACCTGCCTACCTACCTAACTAACTCTTTGCCTGCCTACCTACCTACCTACTACCTACCTACCTACCTACCTACCTACCTACCTACCTACCTACCTACCTACCTACCTACCTACCTACCTAACCTACCTACCTACCTAACTACCTACCTACATTACCTACCTGTCCACCTGCCCGCCTGCCCCTCTGTCCGCCGTGGTGTAGTGATGTACTGTGTGGTGGTGTTTGTCATAATTAATCATGTATTATATTCAAGGGAACGAACAAGTGGTTGCCGAGCTGTTGTACACTATGACTAAGGCTAAAAACATCCCTTTCGTAGACAAGGTTTGTAAATTTGACTTAAAGAGAATTCTTGGCAGACATGTTGTGCAACATGCTTTGCGTGCCGCGTTCACCGCTCAACTGGTGGTATGTTATCGAATACAACAGTCAATCAACGTTTTTAATCACAATTATGGGCTATTTTCAGTCTACTCCAGAGTTTCAGTCCATGGTCCACATACTAGTTGAACTAGTCAAGGTCAATTATCATGATCTATCCTTTAGAGCAGCTGTAAGCCTTGGGCGACTGTGTATAGTAGAACCAGTGTCTAAATCCTACCTTATTGACAACCTACCACATCTAACAACAGAGGAAAGAGCAGAGGTGAGTAACCATGGTAATGCCTAGATATGCTACTGCTACCTTAAATAAATATGGGCGTGAGTATTAATAAAGGCCTATTTTTTAAGAAGGAGGTCGACTGGGGCTAAAGACTCCTTGTATGTGACTTCAAAGCAGCTCAATTTGGAAGACAAAATAAAGGAATTTCAATCTCCTGAGAATTGGAAACCTATTGTTATGTCCTCCAGAAAGACGACTTGTACTAACAGGTCTCGTGACCCCACCTCCCTTAAAGAGCAGCTGTATCGAATGAACATCTGGAACAAAAAGAGCACATCTATTTAAGTAGGGTGGCGGAGTTTTAGCTCATATCAAACGAAAATCAATTATTTTATAAGAATTAGTATGGGAAAATATGCTCTTTTCCATCCAGCACATTTCCCAATACGAATCCTTACAAAATATTGCATTTTATATTTGATTTATTCTATAGTCAACATTATGAACTGAAACTTCGCCCTCTCACTAATGTTGAGCTGCTCTTTTCATTTCTAAAGTTCGTTTTCACACGACTGCTCGTTTTAAGGGAAGCAGGGTCACGTGACCTGTTAGTGTAAGTCGTCTATTGAGCTGCATTCCGACGTGCTGCACGGGCTCTATATGTATATTGACGCCTGTCCATCTTTGAAATTTCAGGCGCTATTTGTACTAATTAAACAGATGAATTGTAAAGAAAGGCCTGTCTTGGATACTTTGTTTGACCAGATAAAACACGCGCATAATTGGAAAGTAAGTATAGATGTCTAGAGTGCAATAGCATATATCCGTGAACAACTTTGTACGAACTGTACAGATTTGCTACTAAGTTCAGTAAACCTCAGTAAACCGTACACCTACAAACCTTTGCACTAATTGGTACAATTTTGTCAGTTAACGTTTTCACGGATATATGCTATGCACTCTAATATTTTTCGTTTCATCCATTGCTTGGTCCAAATCGGGGAATTGCACACATGCCCAAAACTCCAGTTACAAAGCTTCTTCTACTTAGCCTCGATTTCGTGTGGAATATTCATGTGTTTCAATGGTCCGTAGAATTTCAAAGTGCTTGTATTGTTGAAGTTGAGCATTTTTTACTTTACCGTTGGTATTTGTGAATATTTATTAGACACTGATACGAGGCTAACTCTGAGTAAATGAGTCTGTAATCAAGGAACACAGCAGCATTTTACAAATTAGAAAAAAAACTAATATTCAAATGTCAGGATGTGGGATTATTAGGCAGACAAATATTCCAGTTTTTCCTTCCCGCAAACGGCAAACGTGACCACGTTTTCATCGTATCCCTACAAGTTTCACTTTACCTTTTGCAAACCTTCTCGACAAAGACAAGTATTCTTTTGTTTGTCTACTACTTGGAGATTTTTGCGCTTCCTTTTCACCAATTTTAAAGACTTTTTTAATAGTTAACTGACGTTTCATGTTTGCCGTAAACGAGAATCTTAAACTCTCTAACACCATATCACTAGTCGCGCTAGAATCTGGAAGGAGATTTTCGAACTTTGATTATACTAAGAATAAACTTGCAAACAAGATTTCCCCTTCCAATTAACGTTGTAAAATAGCTTCAATAACTTAATACTAACATGAATCTATTTATTTTTTAATTATTTATATATTTATTCTTTCTTTCATTTCTTTCCATTTTCAGCATCGTCTAGAAGCTGCTGATTTGCTCATTTTTATTGGTAATACGTCACTTCACCATTTTCCATACATCGGTTCACTGGTCAAACACAAAGCATTCAGTCGAGGTTACAAGGTTCAAATTTGAATGATCCTTTGAAAGTACCTTGGCGCCTCACTTGAGCGCTTTGTATTTGACCAGTGAACCGACGTATGGAAAATGGTGATGCAAGGTTTTTATTTCTTTTTAAAAAACAAATTACAAAGACCTTTATTTTGGATAGGAGTTACGCAATTGAAAGTGAACGCGCATGCTCTGTGCTCTCATAAAGTACGCGCTCCCAACCAATCAGATCGCGAGATTTATAACAGTTATTTTATAATAGTTAATAGTAAATCCCCAAGAACACTTACAAACCATTGTAGAATTCTAAATTAAAAGTTGTTTGCTATACCAGGAAGAATTTATGCTGTAGCGGGGTTCCTGGCATTATTACAGTCAAACTAAGAAAACCGTGAACAACTAAAATATGTCTGGAATGTTAAACATCGTGTTCTCACCAATCACATGTCTAATTAACTGTCGCATGTGATTGGTCAGGACACGATGTTAAACATTCCAGACATGTTTCAGGCGTTCACGGTTTTCTTAGTTTGACTGTGACATCATTTTCCATCAACCGTTCGTTCGTTCGTTGATTTGTCTTCCTCGCCAATTAATATTATTCATCTATTTATCTTACTCTTATTTTTGTTGATCTGTTTATAGGACCTCGTGACTTGTTTAACATCATTGCACCAGAAAAAGTGTTTAGTATTTTGGAACCTCTGCTTTGGGATCATGCTAATAGGGTAAAATATTACTTTACAGTCTGTTGTGGGTCCTTTGAGCTAACAGTGAATATTAGCATTAACATTACGGCCAAATTAAAAAGGTCTATAAACCAAGATATTTTTCCATTTCAGACCATGTATCGTTTTCTATATTATGATTTCTTTGTTTAATGATTGCACATAGGATGCTGTACATGAATATGGATACAACTCAAACAAAGAATAAGATTCTTTGGGCATGTTTTCCCATTTCAGATCACATGTCATTCCCTAAAATATGATTTCTTTGTTTAACGGTTGCACATGAAAAGAAATATGGATATTGATACAACTCAAACAAAGAGTCTTATTCTCAAGAGAATAACACTGGCTCTGAAATGGGAAGCCATTACGCCCAAAGGCAAAGGGTTCTATAAAGCAAATCAGGGTTTAAAATAAAATGATAGAAAAAAATCTCATGAATCTCTTCTCGACGACGATAACGATAGTTTGAAATTTGGAAACTAAAATTGGGTGATTAGATATGATGTGGCTCTTGCTGCACATGTGATTCTAGAAAAGACTATTAAAGACTTTTCACGTATTTTATGATTAGGAATTACGTTATAAAATAGCTGAGACTATCAACTCTCTTGGTCTGAGGCACGCAGCTTGTTCTCTTGTTCTAAGGTATTTTTTTAAAAATTTCTTGCGAATGTTTTGTTATTCCTTCCATTCTTTCCTTACTTTCTTCTTTCCTCTCTTCCTTCCTTCGTTCCTCTTTTCCTTCGTCTCTACCTTTCTCTCTTCCTTCCTTTCCTCTTTCCTTCTTATTATCTTTCCTTTCCACGATTCTCATTTCGGTCCTTTACAATCCTACAGTAGGTTAGAGGATCCAAGTGAAGATGTACGAGCAAAAGCTGTGATTTCAATGGTGAGTCTCCCCAAACTAAACTCTTGCAAACTAAGATAGATAATATAAAATCATAACAGTAAACTGTCAGCCAAAAATTAAATACACTCGCTGGAGTAGTTAAAAGTGTCAATGTCTTCTTAGACAAGTAACAGGTGCGTGTCGAGAAAAGGCTGAAGGCGTTAGATTTTATCCAAAGGAGGGCTAGAGGAACAAAAGGATATGTTATCTATAACGTCTGTACACTTGATCAATGCTTTGCTAACAGTGTTTTTCAAAGACGCCAAAATTTATTCAAGGAAGTATACTTCTGGCAGGCTTTTTGCGTTATGAGGAAGGTCTTTATAATGATAGTGAAGATACGCAGTGCTATCATTATATAACTATCATTATAAAGTCCTTCCTTCTTTTGTATTTCTTTTTTCCTTCCTTCCTTTCTCTCTCCTCTACCTTTCCTGCATTTCCCCATTTTCTCTTTTGTCTCCACGTCCCCTGTTTTCCTTGTCTTCATTTTTCTCTACCTGTCCTGCATTTCCCCATTGTTCCTGTTGTCCCTGGTGTCTTTATGGTTCCTGTTGTTCCCATTGTCCATATTGTCTCTGTTGTCTCTATTGTCCCGTTGTCGTTCCTTGTACTTATTGCCCTTGTCTCCCCTATTGTCTCTGTTTTCCCTGGTGTTCTTATGGTCCCTGTTTTCGCCAATGTCAATATTGTGCCTGTTGTCTCCATTACTTCTGTTGTTCCCCATTTTCCCTATTGTCCTTGTCGTCCATATTGTCTCGGTTGGCTCTGTTGTGCCTGGTGTCCTTATGGTCCCTGTTGTCCCCATTGTCAATATTGTCCCTGTTGTTTCCTTTGCCTCTTTTGTTCTCATTGTTCTTATTGTTCTTGTCGTCCATATTGTCCCGGTTGTTCCTGTTGTCCCTGGTGTCCTTATGGTCCCTGTTGTCCCCATTGTCCATATTGTCCCTGTAGTCTCCATTGCTTCTTTCGTTCCCATTGTCACTATTGTCCTTCTCGTGCATATTGTCCCGGTTGTCCCTGTTGTCCCAGGTGTTCTTCTGGTCCCTGTCATTCCTAGTGTCTTTATATTCCCTGTTGTCCCCATTGTCGTCTAAGATGTCGTACTGAAAAGCATCAATATTGTCTACTGTTACAAACAGGCTACCTTAGGCATGAAAGGAGGCAGGGAAATGAAAGCACTACTGGATCTTCTTGAACTGGATTCCAGCGTTTATGTGCGAATTCAGGTTAGCCATAATATCAAATTACTCTTTACAATCATAATTTTGATAATACAGATGTTTTGCACCATCACTTGACGGCAGCCTATGGGTTTAAGACACACTCATTTTCCTCCTCATTTGCAACGTTTTTTGCAGGTTGTTCGAGCATTTAATAATTTAAAGTGGAACGATCCTAGAATACTTCGAAGCTTGCGGGAAAGAGAACGGGGAGAAACTACTTTGGCGAGGTAATATTGAAACATCATTTTTATATAATTTTTAAAACCTACTATCACTACCTTCCCCTCGTCCTCGTCCTCGCTCCAAGATTAACAACTTCTTCATTTATTTACAGCGAGGCAAGGAAAGCTATATCAAGTCTGACTAATGTAAGTTTAGATTGTTCCACAAAAAAAACACAAAAAACGAATTTCCAACTGCAGTAGTTGTTTCTCACGTCTGTAGTCTCGGGTTCGGTTCCTAGCCCTGACATCACATGTGAGTAGAATTTGTTAGGTCTCTTCCGTGAATCCAATGTTTTACGCGTTTTCTGGTTTTCATCCCTGCGCAAAACACAACAAGCTAAATTCCAATTCTATCATCGAGTTTCCCTGCTCTGAGGTTGTTTCAGGGTTTGTTAAAACCGATGTTTGGTTGGGATTAATTTATTAATTTATTTCTTTTGATAGGAAGGGAAGTAAGTCAGAATAGAAGAAACGTAACAGCAAAGATTCCCTACAACACAATCAGAATATTTTTTAAAATATTTTTATAAATGTACAATTTCTACTCATATATGGTAGTTAAAACTATAAATAAAAAATAATAGCAATCTATATTCTTCTCTTCTCTTCTCTTCTCTTCTCTTCTCTTCTCTGCTTGTCTTGCCTTTTTTTGCAAGACTATTTTCCATTGCTCTACAATAGAGTAACAGCGAATGTTTTTTAATAAAACAAGACATTATAGCTTAATTATGATAATAACTACTAACAGGTGTCGTTACCCTTATAACCGGGAGGATTTCAAGAACTTTATAGCTCAGAGTACAAGCGAGGCGAGGCTTTAGTGGTACTTGGTGTACGGTACAAACACGTGGATCACCATGGCCAAATACATTGCAGGAACGTTGTTAAAACAGCAACAAATAGGAATTAAGTAGATTTTTTATTCGATTCTAAAGCTCCCTAAATTGATTAGAATTTTCAAGATAATCTCAAATATCAATAGATTATCTACACCTGTTTTGATTAATAAAAAAAATTCCTTTCTGTTATATTTCTTTTCAAATGACAATGTTCTTACAATTAGGTGTGTTGATAGGAGCAATAATGCAGTACCATATTATACCATTAGGCAAAAAGTTTGGTTGATTTAATGCTATTCAGTTTACTACTCAACGACATCGTTTGTATTTTGACTTCTGTCCAAAAAAATTAAATACTTTTTGCATGTCAATATACTCTTGATCATCACTCACGTATAAATGAAGTATTATTTTATTCAAGGCAAGTCACGTCCAGTTTCTAGCGTTTGGCATTCGTCCATCAATGTAAGCCAAAACATATAAAATAGTTTCCAAAGGACGACAAAATTTCGTGCAGTGATTAACCTGTACGCCCGTAAAGTAATTAGGCCAAGTCCGAGAATTCTAGAACAATATCACAAGGCTTTTCGGAATAAATTATTAAAGATGAAATAGAGAATAATAGATGGACGCGCAGAGTGTTCAAGTGTTCAAAACAATATCGAATCTGATCACAAGAAATTTCAATTAGCGACATAAATTTGTCCGCGGGCCATGCTTTAGCGAACTCGCCTTAGTCCTATTTGTTTTAGGGTCCTGTTTCGTACTTTAGCGAGATGTAGCGTGAAAACGAACACGGTGACCTATCCTTTTTACTGGGATACGTGTGGTATCACAGTCTTGAAATGGCTTTTTTTTTTTTCTCTCTCCGCGATAAAATGACAAAGCTGCGCAATAGTTACCCAGGGGTCTTCAGGAACTTACCCAAGAGACCTTTGCGGGTATCTGCTATAGGTTTCCCGTCTATACTCCAATCAATTATCATGTACCAGATGTCAATCAATGTCACTATGATGTCAAGTGATTATGAGAGGGCGGAGCTAGCAGATCACGTGGCACAGGTTTATGTCTACGCATGCTCTATTTCGTTGACCGCCGTAATTCAAGACAGCCGAACTAGAAATATTAATTTATCAATTTCGTAAACAAGGATTTAAAGCCGAGAAGATAGCGATGATTTTGAAGCGATTATTTGTAAGAATCTTCAATGAACTTCATGGGCAAAAGCTTGTCTTGGTTAACTATTCATGATTCATCTACTCGAACAGTATTTTGTTTTCTGCACGAACAACTGAAGATCGATGAGGAGAACAGGGTTTCAAGAGTCAGAATAATAAGCGATAGTATTAACAAATTCATTCAGCTTGGCTCGTTATTCTCTTGAACTTGACAACATAGTTATAGCCTATTTATGTATTGATATTAACTGTTTTGGCTTCAAAGTCTATACTCACAAAGGAACATAAGGTACATAGCAATATTTATTTTAGGATCAGTCGATTTGATTTTTAAAATTAAGAAGCAAAATAAACAATTTGCTAAGCACATTCCAGGGTTTGATCTTTGCCGTTCGAAGCGTTTTGATCTCCTTTAATTTTTCTTCAAAAAAATGGTGATTCATTGAAAAATATCGATAAATTATAAAATGTTAAGCAATTATAAGAGCAAATATTAGCCTGTATTGACGTTTTAAATGATTGATTTTAAAGTTAGCCGTGCGAATGTGCATGCTTTTGAAACGTGGTTGAACAACAAGCTAATTACGTATGCCAAAATCCGGATCCCTCGGAACTGGAATTGCAGTTCCAGATTGGGTGTGATGAGTATGGCATAAACGCTCTGCCTACAAACGGTTTTTAACAGTTCGAAATTTTACAACTTATTTTTACTCCTCCTTTCGATTCTTAGAGACTCTGATACTAGTAAACCGTCCCAACCAGGGTCTGGTATGTCATTTCTTCGAGACGTCACGAAATACTCAGTACTTTACTAAATGATCAGTATTTTTGGAAGCTCAACCAGCAACTAAATACTCCATACATGTCGAAACCAGGTGCTCCAGGCATCCCAGTGTATCCTGGCAACGGGTCTTGTTTTAATTTAATTAACTTAACGTGAAACAAGGTTACTTATCACATATTGGAGTTTCAAGAACATTATCTGTCCAGATTAGTTTTTGTATATCGATAACATTTATTTAACAACGTGTTAGCAATTAACTGAGACGTGTAATCCATGGTATATAATCTTCTAAGTTGATATGTATGATCTAGTCTGTCTAATTGGTAAGACTAATCGCTTTATTTTATTTTATTTTTATTATCGGCCTTCATAGATTTCTTAAAAAATTCCTGTGTTTTTCCTATTTCCTATTATTTCTTTTTAAAATATATTTCTATATTTTATATGATTTTTTTAGAGTTGAATAATTTTAGTCAATATGGTATAGAACTGACCTTCAGAAAATAATTGTCTTACTATCTGACGTCAATCAGGTTTTTATCGGACCTTAAAAAAAGAAAAAAACTTAATAAAATTATATCCTAAACTAATTGCCTTGAACGCGGGATTATCTCCTTATAACCAGACTTATAAACAGAAATGCAAGTATCCAAGCGAGCGAGATTAACGAAGGTATTAAAGAACTAAGAGGAACGAGGGATTATCTCATATATAACCAGAAAGTTAACAGGAATTCAAATAATCCAAGGGAGCGAGATTAACGAAGGTAAAAACTGAGAGGAACGAGGGATTATCTCCTGATAACCAGTCAAATAAATAGAAATTCAAGTAATTCAAGCGAGCAAGATTAACGAAGGTAAGAACTGAGAGGTAGATGATTTGTAAACGAAAAGTTTAACCAAGTATTCAAATATTTTGAATATTTTCTGATATTTTCCAAGACAATTGATTGCCTGATTCCTGCATGGTGTTACTGTTTCTTATATTATTTGAAGGCAAAATAAGTCATTTTGCAACTCTTTTTATTAACTATCCTTTCTGTGATTTTTGTTAATGGAAGCTTATGAAAAATTAGATATTGACCCAGGAAACAGTTTTTGAAAAGTCTTAAATGTGGCAAACTTTTCTGTAAGGTTTTGCGTTTGAAGCCAAAAAAGTTCGTCCAATAGGACAAAGAAAAAAAGTTGGAAGAATAAATGTTGTCATCGAAAAAGGAGGAAGATTTTCAATGTTCTAAAACTCAAATTTTTTTTTACCACTATTTCATATTGCGTCTGTATTTTTACTGATAAACATCAAATATTCGTAACTTTTTGTAAAGCTCAATAATGCTTAAATGAACTAGGATCCATTGTGTAAGAGGTATATTTGTTCTCTAAAGTACCTGTTTTATTAATATTGCGGTATGGAACCCTTTTATACATGTAAAACGCAAAAACGAAAAAAAAGTCACTTTTTGTCAAAGCGAAAATTTTCGAGAATTTCCTATTATCTCTGTGTGGCGTATCTTTTTTTCTACAGATTGGTTTTAATTTCTTTAATTAAAGCTGTTGTTTATTGAGGTACGAAGGAAATGTTCGCTGATTGGATATCATAATTCGATCTGGCTGAGAGAGCCGGTGAAATCACCTGGAGAGAGAAGGCAAGTTTTCAAAAGCTTTCGATTAACATTCTTATCTTAGCAAAAAACTTCAAGTGCCATTAGACTGCACGCAATTAATCCGTGAAACACTCATTACTAAATAGTACAAAATAGTGCTAATTAAACAATAGAAAACAATGGAATTTGCATGAAATTGTGCTATTTAATATTACTAAAGTTTCACGGTTATATATTGTTTGCACTCTAAAAGAGACGATATTCATATAACAGTAAAATATATAACCTGGTTCATCTGAAAAGTCGGTGAGTATTTACAAGGCGTTTTAAAACATGTGAAAACATTTACAGTAAGGTGTTTTCATCCAGTTTTCAAACAACCGTTCATAAAATTTTTGAACTGCCGTTAAAATATGAAATTAACTATGAAATTCTCACAAAACATTTTACTTACATTGAAATTTATATAATGTAAAATTCAAAGACATTCACGTTGGATTGACTTAAACCTATATTCCGAGCGATTGCGACATGATTATCAACCATCTCTAAATTTTTAATTTATTTTACACTTTCTGTTTAATCAGAAAAGTCATCGAGTATTTATTTTTGCCATATCAATTTTCCAAAATGCATTTTATTACAGCTGGAAAAAAAAAAAAAAAAAAAATGTTCAAGGTGTTTCGTTACAATTTTCAAGCAACTGGTACAAAACATTTTTCAGCGACCGTTAATGCGGTTTTACATATTCTGTGAACTAAGACATTTCAATGGCTTGTTGTGAAATTGGTTTTTCACTGCCGCCTGCAGAGTCAAGAACATAAAAGGTACCGACTGATAATTATTTTTGATTGACGGTAAATTTCAGCGTGCAGCTAGCAAATGCCGATTTCACAGAATATGGAAAATCGCAGAAAACTATCTTATTGTACGGTAGTTGGAAAAACTGTACGGAGCATTTGAAGGAATACAGTTATTTTTTTCCTAGCACTTTTTTTCCTGGTTGGCAAAAGAAGTAGCACAAGTTTACCAAAAATCTTAAATTTAAGATTCTAAGGATTGGTCATGATGCCAGGAACACGAAAAGCTATTTCGCTTCTTCAGGTGTCGTTATTTGTCTTTAACGTGGTCGAATCTGCTGACAGTAACAACCAAGAAGCAGTTTTTCACCTCGAAAAAGGTAAAAAAGGTCATAACTTTTTTTCTGCCCAAGACTTTCCATCCAAATTTATACACAGGCTGTAATAGTACTAGATGATAAGATTCTGAAAATTTCAAAAAAAATCGTACCTGAGGATGAGGAGAAAAAACCCAAAAACTAAAAATAGCGCTGTTTGATTTTCGGCCGTAACAGGCTAAACATTTTTAAAATCTTAAAATAAAACACACTGTTAGAATCTAGGATAATCCAAGCACATTGTATGAAAAATACAGTTAAATTGACGCACTAGTTTTGCGAAGGAAACGAGAATAAAATTGTCCAAAATTTGCTCTGAATTAGTTTGGTTCCACCTTAAGAAAAGGGCTCCCAAAAGACGCCATTTTACTCTAAAACGGGGGTGCTTATGGAACAAAATACTAGGTAAACACGAAACAATAATACAATAGAAGGTTGAAGCGCCTCAATTTCGAAGACGTTGTCGCCCGCGTTGCCGTCCTGCAGCTTAAGGTCCTTTTTGTCGTTGTGCAGTTGCCCTTGTCCTTGTCCTTGTCCTTATCATTAATTTCAAAATGACTTTTTAGGCCACGCGCTAGTGAATCACGTGATCAAGACAACAATGACCCATGATGCAATCGACTGTAGTTCAGAGTGTCTCCGAACACATCTTTGCAAATCTGTCAACTACCAACACGGTAACAGCAAGAATCATCAATGTCAGCTTAACAGCAAGAGTAAAGATTCTGCGGCAAATGTGGATTATCAGGCAAATTCTGGATTTACTTACTATGAAAAGGTTAGGGGAAACCACAGACTTGAGATATTCAAAACATACAGCTACATATTGCATGCTGCATATTGCACACCAGGCTTTAAATGCATAGGTGATTTGAATGCAATCCACGAAAGGTCACGACAATATTTGAAATTTCCCCAAATTTTGTCAACGCAGAAGAAATATGTGGCTACCAAGTCACACTAGGCCTGAGGTCACGTGATGCAGAGCACGTGCGGACTGTTAGAATTGTCTAATTTTTTGTGTCAGTTTATTAGATTGTGTTTAGAATCATGTGAATGGATTTGTGCAGTCTGGAAAACGACTAAGAACAACAACTATAGTAATATATTCAAAGTGCAACAATGCTCCACAATAGAATAAATAGTGAGTTTTGGGGAAAATGCGAGACCGCGGTAGAGGGAGCAGATGGCTACTTGATTTGTCAAACTTTAAGGGAGGGAGGGTGGTAAGAAAACATGAATAAATGCCGAGAAAAAACTATGACAGGTCGCTGCCTGTCCGTTCATTTAGAAATAAGTCAATGAGGTCACCATCCTGATATGGTACACCTACTCGTGCGACCTCTGACTTCACCGATTATGCAACTATTCTTGCATTCTGCCTACTTTTATACTAATTGTTACCCATGGTTGCACATTGAATAGCTACTGAACTCATAGGTTTGAAGTGAACCGAATCACGTTCGGTTATTGTATGTACAATTGGAGTGTACTATTAAAGTGGTCGAGTTTAAAGATTGTATTTTGATCCATTCAGTGGACACAGCCAATGTGTACTGGAATAACAAAATATTCCATATTTCAGTGACCTTTCACTGATTGCATTCACATCGCTAATAGTGGATTTAAAGTTTGGTATAGAATGCAACATGCAACATGCAACAGACAACAGGCAACAAATAACATGCAACATGCAGCATACAGCATGCAACATGCAAAAAAACATCCACCAAGGTTTGTTTAAATAGCTGTTTCTAATTTTGGATTCCTGTGTCTCTATCCCTTATTTATATGCATTTTTTGTTTATCTCTAACCTGTTTCTTGTGGACTTTTTTCCAGAATCCTTGTGTCCCCAACCCTTGTTCATATGCTGGAACATGTTTAAAGGTCAATAGTGCCGAGGAATTCAACTGCACTTGTCTGCAAGGTTTCAAAGGTCGTCTCTGTGATTCAGGTGAATTAGATTTTAGCTAAACGTAACATTTGATGATTGTTGGCTGGTTGGCTGGTTGGCTGGTTGGCTGGTTGGCTGGTTGGCTTGTTGGCTTGCTGGCTTGCTGGCTTGTTGGCTTGATAACGCACTCTTTTTCATATACTTTTTTAAATTATTCATTAGAGAGGTTTGGCTGGTTCAGTAGAAACCCAGCATCATCTTGCAAAGCGATTTTAGACGCAAGTGACGGAATACATGATGGGGAATATTGGATCGACCCGGGTAACCAAGGCAGCCCCATGCGTGTGTTCTGCGACATGACAAGCAGTGGAGGTAACTATACGTTTTGATTTTGGTCCAGCAAATACTCCGCTTCATGACAATTCAATTTTGTAGTGACATCATTTATATGTCACTACTTCAGAACAGCGTCAGAAGGAACGCGATACAAGGAATGTAGGTGTAAACTAAATATTCAACCGAAAGTTTAAATAACTTCACTTTAGGGTCTGGGCGTCTTCAAAGTCTGTCTTCCCTGTGGATGAGTTGACTTTACTGACAATGTCTTAAATGAAATCTCAAATGAACGGAACCCCAATGAGAAGTTATTTACACTTCCGGTTGACGCCGCCGTTGTAGATTTAGCAAATCTTAAAGTCCTTATTGCTTCTCTTTCTGGTCTGCAGGAGGATGGCTACTGGTCTCCAACGCAGTTATACAAAGTTCCTCACAATCTCCTCCAAAAACTTTAACCACATCGTTTCGTGATATTTCCAACTACAACAACAACCAGACCCTGATATCTTCAACCAATCTACTCCAACTTCTACAACTCATGCCTTTTACCCAACTCAGATTCCAGTGCAGGAAATCATCCATTGGTCGCACAGTACATATTATCACAACGAACACCTCTTCAGGGATCGCGGTATTAAACTATATGACGGCTCAGACAAACAACTTGCCAGTAGCCTGTGGATCTTTCACTCGTGGCTCGGGAGATAATTCTCAGCTTGCGTCACAGTGTTCGAGGTGGGGTAACACAAGAACAGCAGTTAACGTATGGGGGCACGCGTCTAGGAAGACCGAGTGGCGCATGTACGACCATGTAATGTACATTGCAGGAGCATCCCACTATATCGTTGTTCCGTCAGGCTACCGGTGTGATGCCAATTCAGCTACTATTTCGCCTGGTGATTATTGGAAAATGTATGTCCGATAAAATCAGGGAAATGAAATCCCTTGATTTCCTCTGTCTTTTTTGCATGATCGTGTTCAATAAATATGAGAATACTACAGTAAAGGTTCAGCAAATCGAAAACTGGTGTAAGGCTGCTTGCGTGCCCCAAATAGTTATCAAAACATGGAGTGTACTGTATGTATCAAATTGAAAATAATTCCTAGGTAGAATTTATTCAACATTGTTTAAGACAATGGACTATATACCATATGTACCTTAAAAACTTTGTACGAAATTGCACAAATTAGTCAGTTCAGTAGACCTCAGTAGACCGTAGACGTACAAAACTTTGCACAATTCTTTTAGCAAACATTTTACTTATATATGGTATACACTCTAATGCATACAACTGCCCTACTTGGCAGGCAATCCGTAATCAGGGTTTGGGGCTCCTGTGTAAAACAATGGACAAGAGAGACTGGCGATAAGAACAGTTTTCTCGCAGTCCTCCTCTTTTCTATGATATCCACAGGATTCCCAAACTATAATATGACATAATTAGCCTCAAAGATGTTAGACGTCTAGTTTTACAACGATTGAACGTAAGTCTATTGCATCATGGATGTTTGGGGGAGGCTGCTAAGCCTACAAGTATCTGTATCCTAACTTTTTGAGTGCTAAGTAACCGCCCACAAATTTTCTAATCTTGTAAAACAATGGATTCAAATAATTAATTATTATTTAATAAGGCAAACCGCTGACCGCGACAAGATGGTGGGCTTGCACGAACAAGATGGCGGTCATTGGAGTGCGCCCCAACATTTTTATTGCCATCGAGCATTACACGTGAACAACTATGTCATGACCTTATTTTAGCAGTATTTAAAAATAAAGTTAGACTTCAATATTTAAACAGCACCCTAGAAACATTATATCAGTGAGTTCAAAATTATATAACACAGAATAAAAATTAATAGTTCACGATATAGAATGCTTGGTATGATTGATATGTGCAGAAACTCTGGTATGTTTGGTATGCTGGGTCCTAATATTCTTGAAAAAGACCAATAATTCACTACCGAAATATGCTTCGCTTGTCACGCACAAAGGATTCAATGCGAGGCTTCATGCTTAATGCTCAGGAGCAAGCTTAGCTCAGTTTGGTTAGTGCGCGACCTTCAAGCTTGAGGTTCACGTACGGTTCGATCCTCAGGATCTCCACGTCTGTTTCGACTTCTCTCTAATCCGCTTCAGCTTTGAATACTCTTAAAACAAAGCACTGATGGAGAGAGGGGGTAAAGTGCGCACCGTCGGCTTCCATTGATAGCAGTTGAATTTCAACTGAAGGAACTACCGACTTTAAATATATGTACTTTACTTTACTTTACAGTGATTCTTGAAAGGAGAAAAAAATGCATTTTCGCACGTAGCCTCAAACTTAAACCTTTGTGTGTGGTAAGCAAAGTATAGAATTGGGCTATTCAGCTAACGCAATGTTTTACCAAATTCAAATCTATTGGGATTACTTTTCTTTGTCTATTAAATTTACATATCATATCCTTAGCAGTGCTTCAGTTAGTTTAACCAACATGGCGGCTGTTTCGTTGTTATTTCTCAAAGTATTTTAGTTTTGTGGTCGCACCCCAAAAATTCAATCTTTTTTATTTGAATTGAGTTCCCTGTGGTTTGATCACTGAGCACTCATTTAGCAATAGAATCTAGAAAAAGCAACTTTTGTTGTGTAATCCTGCTTGTTTTCCCATGATTCCTCTGGGGCGTCATTTCCACCTGGCAATGCAAAACGACTGATATTCTTATTTATTTTTATTTGTTCACGTGAGGATGGATGGATGGATGGATGGATGGATGGATGGATGGATGGATGGATGGATGGATGGATGGATGGATGGATGGAT